TCATGGATCCCCAGGAATTGAAAGCAGATAGCCCACTCTGAAAATCTAAGGCTCTGCTCTGCTTCGTACTGTGTTATCTGACAGTTTTGACTTTTGGGGATATCAGAAATTACTCTGCATTGTAAGAGAGCTTTTAGCCTAGCTATGTGATAACTAGGTGGGAAATACACTTTTAGGGATGGCTAACGGCAGTTCTAGGGGGATACTTGGCTCTTTGCACATTTGGATCAGTAAAGCATACTCTTGGCCACCTAGGAAGTATGGAAGCATCCCCACCCTCCATTGAAAGATAAGACTGCCATGGGGGATGGGCTGATTCCCTCTCTTTAGGATCCAGGATCCAATATAAAAATGAGACCCTTTGTTTTGGAGATCTGTTTTGCCTTCTAGCTGTGCCTGCTTATTAGGCCTTAGAAACTGCAGGCTTTCCTGGCACTGTTTTTTGAAGGGCTCCACCCTGAAGTCAGTAATCCAATTCATAAACTTAAAAATTGGCAACTGAAAAATCTTACAACTACTGGATCTTCTGTCTGTCTGTGTATTTATATATGTTGTCTGTGTGATGTTGATATATGAAAGGGCTCTGATTAATTGGCTTAAAAATAATAAGTACTTAAATATTTTGTCAGAAAAATAGAAACATTAATGCCTTTTGGTTCACATGACTTTAATAATCTTTGGGAAATAAAGACACTTTTAAAGATTATTGGTAAAATTAAAATATCTTCAAACTTGAGACATTTGGTCTAAATTAGGCAGGTCAGATATTAGGTTTGCTAAATGCTTCAAGGTCATAAACTGCATCATTGACTTTTGAAAATTGCCCAGCTTACCTGCTTTGGGGCCATTAGATTCTAGATAAGGCCTGGGGACTTGTCAAGTTAGCCATGCCCCCAGCTATGCTGGAAAGAGTCAGACCTTATCTGCACTTCTGCCCACTGTCCTAGGCTCCACACCTGGAACATAATTAAAACCACTTACTTACCAAGTTTTTCACCAAAAATGAAAGTTGCTAAGAGTTAACATTGTAACGTATGTAATTGAGACTACTGGAAAAACAGTTTTATATGCAAGGTGTGTAAGGAAAGTAGAATATGCTTTTGGTAAGAAGATTATGAAAAAGCATGGGAATGTGGATTTTCCCCCCCTACTTTAGAGGGTTAAAGGATTGTTTCAAGTTAGGTTGGATAAAGCTTGAGCAAGTTGTGGAAGGTTTGTGAAAGATTAATCTTGTAAAAGAAATTCTGTGTGAACCTATTGGCTTAAATTAAAGGGATATTATTCAGTTTTTTCATAAATTAAATATGGAATAAAAGTATAACAAGGTTTTCTTAGAGCACTGGTGTACTCTTTAACAAGAAAATTGTAAAGAGCTATAAAAGGTTTATGAGAATCTTACCTCATGGTCAAACATTAAAATTGGATAGAGTTGTCTATAAGGCTTTATTATGAATTGGGTTTGACATTAATAGTACACAAATGCAAAGGTAAAATTTGGCTTTCTCTCTTGAACAAGTTTTTCATATAATATTGAAAAATAATTAAAGATTTTTGTTTGCCTTTTGAATAAGCTATAGAAAAAAGAAAGGAAACAAAAGAGACAGTTTTTTTTGGAAAGCAAAGTCTTCCCTTCATTAGTGAGTAAAGGTTTTTGCCTTTAAAAACATCTTTGAGTTATCATGTTGGCCAAATAAATGGCTTATGGTGACCTGGGATGCTATTTTGTAGTATCAAATGTTTTAAATTTTTGATATTTGATAAACTTTCCAAAATCACATTCTAAGTTATGTCTTTTTCTAACCTGATTAGTCCTTTAGATACTAGGTCCCCTAAAGTCCAAAAATGACATATTTGGCTTATTTGGTACATTAAAATAATACAGGAAGCATTGTCAAATATGAAATTGTGTTTGGCTTTCTTTGGGCTGTGTTTATATAAATATGGTATTGGTATGTGTTCCAAAATTATGGGAAACTCCTATAATTCTGATATGAACATTATCAATACGAATGTTCATTATCAATAATAATTATAATTGTTATGCTAAGTTATTATGTGCCACAGAGGTATCCAAATTTCCTAGTCAATGATATTGTTTAACCATGGCTGCCCTAAGTCTTTTTGTCATCCATAGACAATTGTTGTCTTGTTTTTATTCTCTTCAAAAGGTGGTTTATAATCAGCCTTAGAACTTTAATGAGTGCTCTTAAATGCAGAGACAAAGAAAACAGCATCCAAGACTGTCCTGGAAAACTAACACGTATATATCAAGCAAAACAGGAATTAATTGCATAGACTGAACTAATAAAAGACTGAAATAATCTTTTATGACTTTTTGCTTAAAATGTTGTTGATCTTTCTGTTTTGTTTTTCAGAGTCAAGAAACCCCCACTTCTTGAGCTATTTACAGCTTTTAACAATTGAGTAAAGTATGCTCCTATAAGGATTATAAAACAAAGTTTTGTCCAAAAACAAAATTTGGAATATATTTTTTTCTCTCTACCTGATTTCTCCAGAATTTGGAAACTATTTGTGAGTGTTCTTAACTTATGGCAATATAGTTATTTGCATAAGTGCAGTAAGAACCTGTTTTTCCTTCTTTCTTCTTTTTTTTTTTTTGTAACAGGACATAATTGGAGAAACTGGTTATTTAACAAGGGTTTGACTGGAATGGCATGCTTTCAAATGTAAACAGACTTCTTTAAGGAATTAAAGTTGACTAAGAGAGCCAATAAAAGCCCCTTGGAAAAACTGGTTTCGTACCTTGTGTCCCTGTATGGGATTCCTGACCTGTGGTAAGTAAAGAATGTAACTTTCTGACAGGCCCAGGAGCCCCAAGTTATCTTGGGACCTCAAGAGGAGAGGAATTTATCTAACTTATACAGGTACTTGCAGGCATAGGTAAATCCATGGCTGGGCTCAAAGCTTTAAAACATCTAATCTAAGATACCTTATGAAACAGAGCCAATTTTAAAAGGAGCCTATATGGCAAATAATTATATTTGCTGCATTTTATGCAAATAATGAAGCCAAGTATAATGAGACTAAAGCTTATTTTGCAAATAAATTGGTCCTACCATGATTTCTTTTTTTAAATGGGAGATTGGAGAGAGAAAAACAATGTTTCAAAAAATATGGTACACCTGTCATTAGATTCTAGTCTTATCCATTGTTTTTGAGTTTTTTTCTGCAATTTAGATTGACCTTCCTCCTTTCTGTGAACCAAACAGTTATCTCTTGACTGTTTCTCATCAGAAACAAGAGGGATGGATAACATAAAAATCTGGAGCAGTATCTAATTCTGGGCATGTATTGGAATCATCTAGCAACTCCATATCAGCTCATCTAGCAATTCCTGTGACTAAGAATGCCTAACCTCCTAGGAATGCAGCCCAATAGGTCTCAGCCTCATTTTACCCAGTAAGTCAGTACTAATTGGCATTCTTGCCCAGTTTATGGAAAACCTTCTTATTTGGTCTACTTGGGAAAATTTTACTTATTTTACTTTGCTGTTGTAGAATATATTGCTATTATACTCTTTGTGTAAGAATGCAAGATAAGCTTACTCAATGCTTTCTTAAATTGAACACATAATAATCTTCCAGATATCACCTTTTGTTAGGACTCAGAGTTATGAATAACTCTGAACATACCAACATTTTCTTACTGAGTTCCTCTTTGCACCAAACACAAGAGACTGTAATAGTTAGGCAGGAATGTTATCGCCCCTATTCAGCCTGAAGAAGTTACAGAAGATGGATCTTCGTCCCTCTATAACCCTTAAGATTAAGGGTTCCCTCGTAAAAGAGAGTAGGGAAATATGTCAGAGGTGTTCGAAATAGGGCAACCCCATCTTGAATAGGGACTCGGTAAAATGAGGCTGAGACCTGCCAGGCTGCATTCCCAGGAGGTCAGGCATTCTTAGTCACAGGAAGAGATAGGAAGTTGGCAGGACTGTTATCACAAGATACAGGTCATCAAGACCCTGCTGATAAACAGTATGTGGTAAACAAACCAGCCAAAACCTGCCAAATCTAAGATTGTAATGAAAGTAACATCTGGTCATCCTTATTGCTCATTATATGTTAATTATAATGCATTAGCATGCTAAAAGACACTTCTACCAGCACCAAGACAGTTTACAAATACCATGGCAATGTCTGGAAATTATCCTATATGGTCTAAAAGTGGGAGGAACCCTCAGTTTCAGGAAATTCCCACCCCTTTCCTGGAAAACTCATGAATAATCCACCCCTTGTTTAGCATATGATCAAGAAATAACTATAAAAATGGCCAACTAGCAGTGCTTGGGGGTGCTCTGCCTATGGAGTAGCCATTCTTTTGTTGTTTTTTTTTGCTTCTCTAATAAACTTGCTTTCACTTTGCTCTGTGGACTTGCCCCAAATTCTTTCTGGTGCAAGATCCAAGAATCGTCTCTTGGGTTCTGGATCGGGACCCCTCTCTGGTAACAGTTGCATGATACCTGAGGAGGTCAGCCTGGTCATTCCCCCCACAAACATGGGTTAAGCCCTCCCATGTGCCTGGCACAAAGGGGGCTGAGGACTGCAGTTCTGGAACACCTAGGCTCTGAGAGGCGATGTGACTGTGGTAGCAGGGCCAGGATTCTAGCCTGTGGCTGGAGGGCCAACACCTGCACCTTCTCTGCTACCCACCCTGCCTCTATGACTCAGAGCAATTGAGCACTTTAGCTCAGGTTGGACTCAGGGCTGCCTCCCCCTTCCTGAGCAACCTAGGGGCTCCTCTGCCCCATCCGTGTGTCCATTTCCCAATCATCAGGGAGCCTCACATTCCTCCCTGCTCTGACTTTCTAGGCCTTTGAATCAAACGAGACCCCACTGGATCACCAAAGAGTTAAGCAAAGGAAATCTCTGCCTCCCTTTATCTCCGCAGAACCCAGAGGCTGAAAGGGAGGGAGCAGGGAGGAGGGGAAGTGGGAAGCGGCTCTGCCCGCTCCCTCCGCCCTCCCTCCGCCCTCTCTCCCTCCATCCCCTCCTCTCTCCCTCCTCTGCTGGGCCTGGGGGTCTGGGCCAGCAACTAGTATTGCAGACATGGGCCAAGGAGCCAGAGGCCATGCAGTGGCTCAGGGTCCGTGATTCGCCTGGGGAGGCCACAGGACACAGGGTGAGTGACCAGAGGCTCCTCAGCTTGGGGACTGGGGTCAGAGCCTGGAATTCCTCTCCTCCCTCCTTGCTTCCTGGAAGCATCTCGGGCCCTGCTCTCTCCCTCTGACTGGGACAGCCTCTGCAGGCTCTCCCCTCCACGTTTCCTCCTGCCTCTGGCTGAGGGCTGCGCTCCACTGCTCCCGGCTTGTGCCCGCCCCTGCCCGGGCACACACAAACTCAGCTCTGCACGGCCTGCCTGGACCGAGAAAAGTTGCCCTGCCGCTCCCACCCCAAAGAGGTCCCAGCTCCCCAGTGGAAGCAGCAAGGACCCCAAAAGTCCTCCCTATGACTTGGTCCCCACACTTGGTTCCTGCCTGGCACCCACCCCCAGAGCTAGTTTGTGATCCTAGCTGCGGTTATGATTCCTCGTTAACGGCTTCCTGATTCCTGCTCCCAGGCCACGGTTCTGTGTCTCACAGCCTTTGACTCCCATCTGGCTGGGGCCAATAGGAAACAGAAATGCTCCCAAACCATGCCAGTCCTCTGGGAGAAGTTCTCCTTCCCATCCCATGCAGGCATAGGGAAGAAGTCAAAGCACACTTTTTTTTTTTTTTTTTAAGTCTTTTATAAGGCAGGCACTTTCTCTGCATTGAAATCCTTCCAAATTACCTGGGAGGGAGAGAGAGGTGTCATCTCCTTGTAAGTATCAAGGAGCAGGAAGCCCAGAGAAGTTCAGCCACTAGTCCTAGGTCACACAGCTTGCAAACTATTCTGGGTCTCAGATTTGACTCTAAGACCTCAGCTTTTCTCATGATGTCATATCTATGGCTGGGAAAAAGAAGGAAATTTTGGGATTTCCAAAACCACTGGGATTTGTCATTTATAAGTAAAAGCTGAGGATGACAGTCTCAGACAGGGAGGATGTTGACCTCTGAGGATTTGATCTCCTTATTGAGCAGAACCAGGAACCCAGCCAGGCTGGGCAGACAGGAGCTTGGGAAGAGTCACCTCCAGGAAGAGGGAGGTGGCTCTGGAGATTCCCTGCCCACACCCCTTCTCCTGCTGCTACCACCCAGCTCTGGGGGTGGGGGACAGGGCTCCTGCAGCTTTATTTATTTTTAATTTTAATTTTTGAAAAATAGAGACAAGGTCTCATTTTGTTGCCCAGACTGGTCTCGAACTCCGGGTCTCAAGTGATCCTCTCTCCGTGGCCTCACAAAGTGCTGGGACTGCAAGAGTAAGTCATTGCACCTGGCCATCCTGCCCCTTTAAAACTCTGCCCTCACCTCAGTGCTCAGCTGAGATAGGGTGGCATTTTAAAAAGTAATAATTGTACCTTGTCTACATGTATTAACCACAAAAAAAATATTTTTGAATTCTACTAAATGTTAAAGGAGAACAAAAAGGAAATAAACAAAGAAACGCCAGAAGTGTAAAAACCAGTCTGGTTTCAAAAGCAGAGTTTCTGATCCTGTGATAACTCGGGGCCAGCCCCCAGAAGCTGCACCACCTCAAAGGTCTTTGCCCGGCTTCCTGCCCACCCAACCCAGGCCTGTCTCTAGCGCCTGCTGTCCAGGCTACTTCCTGCCTCTCTCCTGGAACCCTGGACCCCTTCCTGGACAAGGCCGGAGACAGAGATCCTCACCAACATTTACACTTTTCTGATCCTTTAGAATTTTTCATACCTCCTCGTCCTACCCCTTAATTCCAATCTACCACCTTGGCATCTGATTGGCAGGTCTACGATGATTGACACAGCCATCTTCCAATGAATTAACTCTCTCTCCAGAACCCTCCCTGCAGGGCTTCTGGATAAGGTTGGGTTTCATAGGTTGTTGACTGCACACAGGTGCTGAGCAGGGAGGTGGGCTAGCGCCAGCCGTTGCCAAGCTGCACACCCTCAGCATCACGTCCTTCCAAAGGGGACTCTTTCCATGTCAAATTTGTCCAGAGGGGCACCTTCTTTACTTTGCACAAAGGCACTCTAAAGACTAGCAATAAGCTGCAGTCAAGGAGCCTTCTCTCGATTGCTCAGCAATGCAATGACGCCATCGCCGTGCACCACCCCACATGCTCTCATGGATATTGCTTTCTGTCTGCTAGGATCAATGAACTCTCCTATCTCTTTTTGCAGAACTATGGTGTTCTCATGCCAAAACGTGGGCTCAGCCATCCATCCCCTCTCCTGAGAACAAGCCTACAGAATCCTCCACGTTTGTCCCCAGTGTTCACTAACTTCTGTCCTCCTGCCCGAGGGGCATGTGTTTGCTGGCGATAGTGGAGTCGGTGGCAAGAAAATGCCAGAGGGAGGTGCGTGGGCGGGAAAGCATTTGATGGTCTCCTGGGTTGCCACCTATGGCGAGCTGGGACATCTTCTCACCTGCCCAGGCAAAGCTTTCCTGGGATCCCAGTCTGCTCTCGGCTGTGGCTGTTTTCAGAGGGGCTTCCTTCTCAGGCCTGCGTGTAGCGGAAGCCTCCATGGACGGGGTGCTGGGAGACTCAGCATCCAGGCCCTCCCCTGCTGCTGTCTCCTCCCGATCTTGGGGAACAGCTGCTCTGTGGAGTTCTCAATCTTCTTGTCTGATAGATGGGGACGATAACTTTCCCTCTGGAGTTAGGTCAGGAGTGCTCTGGCTGGGGGAGGCAGCACCCGCCCACCCCAGGCATCGGCACATAGTAGATGTTGAGTGAAATATAGTTCCTGTCCCTCCTTCCTTGTTCCAGGTCACCATGGGGACAGCCGCCCTGGGTCCCCTCTGGGCAGTGCTCCTGCTCTTTCTCCTGATGTGTGAGGTCCCTAAGGTGGAGCTCACCTTTGACAGAGCTGTGGCCAGCGGCTGCCAACGGTGCTGTGACTCTGAGGACCCCCTGGATCCTGCCCATGTGTCCTCAGCCTCTTCCTCCGGCCTCCCGCACGCCCTGCCTGAGATCAGACCCTATATTAACATCACCATCCTGAAGGGTAAGTGCCCTCCCATGGGGCCTGGTAGTGGGCAGGGAGGGCCAGGGAGCTGAGGTGGAGGGAGTAGAGGGCAGGGCAGAAACCTGTCCAGACACCTCTTTCATCCTGAGTTACTGAGCCCCAGTGTGAGCCAGGACTTCCAAACACTGACGACGGAGTGTGAAACCAGGCCAAGATGCCTTCCGCCTGAGCGCCTGTTCTCAGTGGGGAGACGGGGCATCAGCAAGAGACACATCACCTAAGTTAGTGAAGTGGAATGTTCGATGGTGATCAGTGCTCTGGGAAACGAAAAGGAGCTTCAGAAGTGTGGGTCTGGGCTGCAGGCTGCATATTGAATGGGGTGGTCAGTGGAGGACCCATGGAGCACAGGCTTCTAAGAGGTGGCGGAGGAGCCTCCTGGCAAAGGGCACAGCTGGTGCAGTGGCCCTGGGGCAGGGCTGGGAGATGCACCAGGCTCAGATCCCATGGGGTGCTGTCACCACTGGCCACCGTAGGGACTTGGGCTCTGCTGAGTGGAGTGGGAACAGAGGCAGGTTTGAGTGGGAGAGGGACTTGATCCCACCCAGGTTTCAAATGGATCCCTCTAATGTCATGTGGAGAGCAGCCAGTGGGGGCCAAGGGTCGGAGCAGGCAGCCCTGTGGGGTCTGTCCAGGTGAGGGCCGTCCAAGTGAGGGCCATCCAGGTGAGGGCCATTCAAGTGAGGGCCTCTCCAGGTGAGGGCTGTCTAGGTGAGGGCCGTCCAAGTGAGGGCTGTGCAGGTGAGGGCGTTCAGGCGAGATCCTGTCCAGGTGAGGGCCGTCCAGGTGAAGGGTGTCCAGGTGAAGGGCGTTCAGGTGATGGGCGTCCAGGTGAAGGGCATCCAGGTGAGGGCCGTCCAGGTGAGGGCCATCTAGGTGAGGGCCGTCCAGGTGAAGGGTGTCCAGGTGATGGGCCTCCAGGTGAGGGCCGTCCAGGTGAGGGCCATCTAGGTGAGGGCCGTCCAGGTGAAGGGCGTCCAGGTGATGGGCGTCCAGGTGATGGGCGTCCAGGTGATGGGCCGTCCAGGTGAGGGCCGGCTATCCGCTCTCTTAATTGGACGTAGAGGGACTCACTTCCCTTCCAGGCTGTGGTGGCTGACAGCTGTGGCCAGGCCTTGACATTCTTAGCTTCGGTCTCTGCCTGCAACAGCCCGTGAGTTCGATATTTTCTTATTCCTCCCACTTTGCAGAAGGGGAAACTCAGTCTCTTGGGGCCACACAGCTGTCAGGGACGGAGCCAGATTTGTTCCTGAGCTCTCCCCGGGGACACTCCACTGCACAGCCAGTGGTCACCTGGCACCTGTCCTGCCCTTGTTCTGATTTCGTGGGGAGGACATTGCTCTTCCTCACAGCCCCCTCCCCACCCAGCCTCCCCAGGGCCGAGTTCGCTCTCTGCATGAGGTTGGAGAGGTACCTGGCTGCTGATGGTCCCTCCTCATTGCCCTCCCCAAACCCGGGGTCACTGCTCCTGTGCCCAGCTCAGCAGCCTGCTGGGAGCTGGGTAGGCTGCCGTGGCTGAGGGACCCTGGGCTGGCTTTGGGAGTCCTGGGTCCCAACCTCACCTCTTCCGCTCCCTTGCCCAGTGAGTCAGGCTGGTTTCTCCCCTACCCTGAGCTTGCTGCCTTATTTGTAAAAAGAAGATAGCCCCTTCCTCCTGTCCACCCTCCACTCCTTCCTTCCCTTGGGCTGGGGCACAGCAAGCTTTCTGCAAACACTCTGGAGCTGTGCAGGTGAGGACGCGGCTCTCCAGCGAGGCGGTGGAGCCAGACCTCTGCAGAGCTGTGGACTTGCCCTGACCCCCTCTCTGGGCTTCTGCCTCAAGGGCTTGTGCCCTCTTTTCTGCCCCCTTCCCCAGCTGTGGAAAACACAGGGACTTCTAACCCATGCAAGGGTGTGGTTGCTGATGTGACTCCAGGCACTGTGACAGGTGGCAGGGAGCTATGTGACATCGTGTCCTTCCAGGCATGGGTGGTCGCCTGCTTTTCTTATGTTCAAAGTCAGCCTGGACTAAGGGCTGGGCAGGGCTGTGCCTGCCTGGGGGCCATTGTAGATGCTGCCAGACCTCAGAGCAGGTCGGGATGGACCAGCCATGCTGGGTGAACTGTCCTGCCTCTTATTTGCAGAGTTTGCAAAGTGCTTTCCCACAGGACATTTTGTTGAGAGCTCACAAACACCCCTGAGGTGGACATTATCCTCTTTAAAATATACACCAGAAAACCCAGACCGCAGCCGTGGAGTGCCCCAGCTCACACGAGGCAGGACTGCCAACCAAGGGCTTCCTGGCACCTAACCTGGGCTTTTCCTCCAGGTGGGCAAAGGTATTTTCTTGGCTTCTTCCCTGGGTCGGAAACCCAAAGTACTTTCCAGCACACCGCACATCCCTGCCAGCCTGGACTGCGCTGTGGTCCTGGGGTGGGGGCCTGGGTCTGGCCTCCCAGAGACAACAGCTGGACCCTCCCTGCTGGGTGAGGGGAAGCCAAGTCACCCTGGGGACAGACCATGTTTTAAGTCCTGCCTCTTCTGCTCCTGCACTCTGTGGCCCGGGGTGAGTCACCTAACCTCTCTGTGAAGTGAAGACGGTCATGACGTTTTCTTTAGGCAGGCGTTTGGGGAGGCAATGTCTGGCATACAGTAGGTGCTAAATAAATGCTGCCTTCTTCTCTGGGCCAGGACAGGGGCAGCGCCTTCACAGATGAGTGTGGGCACCTCCTTGGAGCAGGCTCAGTTGTCCACCCTGACTTGTCCCTTTTTATCCCCACAGGTGACAAAGGGGACCCAGGTGCAATGGGCCTGCCAGGGCACATGGGCAGGGAGGGTCCCCAAGGGGAGCCTGGCCCACAGGGCAGCAAGGGTGACAAGGGGGAGATGGGCAGCCCCAGTGCCCCGTGCCAGAAGCGCTTCTTCGCCTTCTCAGTGGGCCGCAAGACGGCCCTGCACAGCGGCGAGGACTTCCAGACGCTGCTCTTCGAAAGGGTCTTTGTGAACCTCGATGGGTGCTTTGACATGGCGGCCGGCCACTTTGCTGCTCCCCTGCGCGGCATCTACTTCTTCAGCCTGAATGTGCACAGCTGGAACTACAAGGAGACGTATGTGCACATCATGCACAACCAGAAGGAGGCCGTCATCCTGTACGCACAGCCCAGCGAGCGCAGCATCATGCAGAGCCAGAGCGTGATGCTGGACCTGGCCTACGGGGACCGCGTCTGGGTGAGGCTCTTCAAGCGCCAGCGCGAGAACGCCATCTACAGCAATGACTTCGACACCTACATCACCTTCAGCGGCCACCTCATCAAGGCTGAGGACTACTGAGGCCCTCTGGGCCATCCTTCCGGCCAGAGAGCCCAGGTGCTGGTCCCATCCCCTGCAGGGCTCAGTTTGCATCGCTGTGAAGCAGGAAGGCCAGGGAGGTCCCCTGGGACCTGGCATTCTGGGGAGACCCTGCTTCTTTCTTGGCTGCCATCGTTCCTCCCAGCCTATTTCTGCTCCTCTCTTCTCTCTTGGACCTATTTTAAGACACTTTCTAACCTAAATATTCTAGAACTTTCCCAGCCTCGTAGCCTAGCACTTCTCAAACTTGGATATGCATGCGAATTACCCGGGGTTCATGTTAAATGCAGATTCTGACTCAGCAGGTCTGAGTGGGTCCAGAATTCTGTTTCTAACAAGTTCCTGGGTGATGCTGATGGGGTCGGTCTATGAACCACACTGGAGCAACCAGGTTCTAGAACTTTCTCAATATTCTAGTACTTTCTGAACATTCTGGAATCCACACATTCTAGAATTCTCCCAACCTTTTTTTTTTTTTTTTTTT